AGTAAATAAATAAATAAAAATTATCTCTGGATTTCTCCGTCAATAATTGCATACATGCAGAAGATCAGCCCTCAAGAATCCCGCTATAATAATATCGAAGAGAAAATATGTGAGAGATTTTTTTTGAGTGAAGCTGTGAGAAATTTCGAGTGAGGGGTAACTCTATTTATAGTCGTCCTCATACTTCCCCCGAAGTGAGGGGTACCTCGCATTTTATGAAACGCGAGGTTCGGAGAATCTTTTCAAATTTTAAATTTCAAATCTTTCGCGAACTATAGTTTGCCAAAATCTCGAGGAACTCGTGTTCTGTAAAACACGAGTTATTAAATAATCATATTAATTGAGTCATCTGAAAAGTGCATCATACCTCGCATTGTGTAAACAACAAGGCATGTCCTCGCATATGGTAGTACGTAAGTTAGTCATACATGTACAGTTTTAGAACATATTTTTCTAACAAATTTGCTATGGGTTATTCTTAGAAAATAATTAATGAGGTTTTTTAATATAATGTCGCCGTTCCACATTAGGTTGATTAAAGCACACTGATTTGATTTTGATATTCGACGTTATTTTCAAAAATAACAAGTAAATTAATTAATCAACTTTTGATAACATTAACATATTCCTCAATATACTGTTTATGCATGGATTTGCATTACAGTTTTTTGGAAAGTCCCCGGATTGGATTCTTAATCAGATTTTAAGGGAAAATTACTACTTGTTGGCAAAGATGAACTTAGAGGTGGGTATACGGGCTACCCGTCTGTTTAGTTCACGGGTTTTAACGATGCGGGCTTAAACGAAGCGATTTAAAAAGCTCGCAATCGTAAACGATTTTGAATTTTAAGACCCGCGGCCCGTCTGTTTAACTCGCGGGTTAAACAGGTTTACCCGCGGCCCGTTAAATAAAAATAATTTTAAATGATTTCAATGCAATAAAAAATAATGTTCTAACTTGCTACACCTTTAAAAATTATCCAGTAACTTTAAAAAGAAGGTAATACCGTCAAAAAAATAAATAATATTTAAATTTTATTTTAAATAGTCGGAAATGATTATAAAATAATATTTTTTATTTTTTAATCATTAATATATATATAACGATAAAATTACTTAAACTAAAATTAAAAAAAACAATATTCATTTATATCACCAAATTGAAAAACAAATAAAACAATAATCACATTATACTTTTATAAAACACGATTATTCAATGCTATAATATGAAGACACATAAGTGTCTGCAGGCAGAAATTCAAAGAGAAAAAATCAGCAAAGTCAAACATTATACAAATCTAACAAATTTTCTTTTGTAAAAGCCTTTAAAAGTTGAAAAGTATGTTTTCAATTTTTTCTTTTACTTTTATTTCTTATTTTTAATCCAAATATTACGTGTCATGTGATATATTATTAGAATATCACGTAACTTTTTATAATTAAAGAACAAAATGGATAACATACTTTATGAAAAAAATAAATGTCAAAATTAAATAAAAGAATCTTTAAATACCAAAGTGATAATGATGTAAATTTTGTAAGACTAAAATACTATATAAATCTTTTAATTTTTAATTTTTAATTTTTAAAATGAAGAATAATTTGATACATTGTAAATGAAAAAAATATCAAACAGCGGTAGAATTATGACAAATACCCTAATAAATTTAAGAACTGCAATGGTTATAAGTAACATCATATTTATAGGTAATTTATTTTTTTTCTATAAAATTCTTTAAGTTTATTTTTTCTAAAATTTTATAAATTTTAAATTAAGCGGGCTTCGCGGGCTACCTGCGGTTATACCCATTAAACCCGCGGGTTTAACGGTTCAGGCTAAAAAACCCGTAATTTAAACGAGTTTCAGTTTTTTATGTCCAAAACCCGTAAGGATTGCGGGTTAAACGGGTAGTCCGCGGGCCTTAGCCCATATACCCATCTCTAGATGAAGTCATGAATGCCGTTAGATTTTTTTAAAGAGAAAATAACCTCAGTGACCAAAAATGCCTTATAATATACGATTTTAACCAATTTTTTTTGGATTTGCCAAAATGACCAACTAAATCGCAATGCGATCGATAATTCGCAACGCGATCTCCGGTATCGCAAATCAGTTTCTATATTCGCAACGCGAACTTCGACTATCGCATTGCGATTTACATATTCGCATTGCGATAGTCCAAGTTCGCGTTGCGATTTATTCCAAGTTCTTTGCGATAGTCGAAGTTTGCGTTGCGATTTATTCCAAATTCGTTGCGATTTATTCCAAATTCGTTGCGATTTATTCCAAGTTCGTGTTGCGATTTATTCCAAATTCGTTGCGATTGTCGAAGTTCGCGTTGCAATTTATTACAAATTCGCCTTGCGATTTATTCCAAGTTCGTTGCGATAGTCCAAAATCGCAACGACGGTATTGCATTTGTTTCTTAAGAATTTTCTCTAAAAAGATAGTATTCGCGTGGACGTGTCGAAGACACGTATTACCACGACCACGACCACGACCACGACCCGACCTGAGACGAGACGGACGGCGGCGGCGCGTGAGAGTCCCCCTTGTTCTCTATCACTCAACAAGGAAGTGGGAAAGCCAAGCCTTAAATACCATTCCCAATAGTGTTTCCAATACTATGTGTGATTGAGCATTACCAACACTTGTTCCCAATACTATGTGGGATTGAGCCTTAAATAGTGATATTATTTTTGAATGTTTTGCTTAAAATTGCAATAATCGCGATTGATTGTAGATTGACATTTAATTATGACATATTTAATCGTATAATACTAATGCAATTGGTTGCTGATTCAGTTGTTTTAAGGTGCATGATTGTTAATTGTTTCCTGAATAATCACATTGTATTGGAAACAAGTGTTGGTAATGCTCAATCCCACATAGTATTGGAAACACTATTGGGAATGGTATTTAAGGCTTGGCTTTCCCACTTCCTTGTTGAGTGATAGAGAACAAGGGGGACTCTCGCGCGCCGCCGCCGCCACCGTCCGTCCCGTCTCGGGTTGGGTCGGGTCGGGTCGTGGTCGTGGTCGTGGTAATACGTGTCTTCGACATGTCCGCTTGCGATAGTCGAAGTTCGCGTTGCGATAGTCGAATTTCGCGTTGCGAATTTGGAAACTGATTTGCGATACCGGAGATCGCGTTGCGAATTATCGATCGCATTGCGATTTAGTTGGTCATTTTGGCAAATCCAAAAAAAGTTGGTTAAAATCGTATATTATAAGGCATTTTTGGTCAATGAGGTTATTTTCTCTTTTTTAAAAACTTTAAATTTTCATGTAATTTTAATATTTTTATATATATTACTAATATTATAATATTATATCATTAAATTTTAATACAAGTGTTCGTATTCGTACTCTAATATAAAAATCATGGGACCATTTCCATTTATTAAGTTGATTTATTTAAGTGAGAATATCTTAAGAGAGTCAAAGAAAGGGTGGTAACTTAATTTAAGATTAAAGAACCATAGGAAATATATGCAACTGAAAATATTATAAAAATTAATATTTCAATTAAATACAATTTTAAATGTTAATTTTATTATTTCTTTATAACATTTTCTTCTTCATAACATTTTTTGTTGACAATCGAAAATGTAATATTCTTCGTAATATTTTGAAAATATTAAAAAAAATTAGAAAAATTAATATTTTAGTTTGCATCCAATCGAAAATATTATTTTTTATAATATTTTCGCAACTTGCTATTTTATAATATTTTGGGTTGCTCTCATTATGTTTCTTAGCTTTAAATTAAGCTTTTCTTAGCTTTAAATAAGGTAGAACCACCCGAAATCCTTGGAGAGCAAAATGGTCCTTTTAGTTAAAAAGTTTATTTATTTAAGAATAGAAGAAACCACATTGAACAACTAATCAAAAAAAGAAAATATTCCTTATATCATTCACTAAAGAGAAAATAACCTCAGTGACCAAAAATGTCTTATAATATACGATTTTGACCAACTTCTTTTCGATTTGCCAAAATGACCAACAAAATCGCAATGCGATCTCCAGTATCGCAAATCAGTTTCCAGATTCGCAACGCGATTCTGACTATCGCAACGCGATTTCCAGTATCGCAAATCAGTTTCCAGATTCGCAACGCGATTTTGACTATCGCAACGCGATAATACAAAATCGCAATGCGATTTTCCAAATTCGTTGCGATAGTCCAAGTTCACGTTGCGATTTCTTAAGAATTTTCTCTAAAAAGATAGTATTCGCGCGGACGTGTCGACGACACGTATTACCACGACCACGATAGGACGGGACGGCGGCGACGGCGGTGCGCGAGAGTCCCCCTTGTTCTCTTCCACTCAACAAGGAAGTGGGAAATCCAAGCCTTAAATACCCATTCTCAATAGTGTTTCCAATACTATGTGGGATTGAGCATTGCAAACACTTGGGAATCTTTTACACTATCGCAACACATTCTTTATTGTTTCAAACTAAGATCTTACAAATGGCTTGGGAATCTTTTACACTATCGCAACACATTCTTTATTGTTTAAAACTCCATGTGAATTTGGAATAGTTAAAATGTAAACTTATTTTGGATTTTTCACTATCGCAACACTTTTTCACTATCGCAACAACACGTTTTTCAAACTCTCGCAACATATTTTAACTATCGCAACACATTTTAACTATCGCAACACATTTTTCAAAATTGCATTGCGAATCTTACAATCGCGTTGCGAATCTGGATATTCGCGTTGCGAATCTGGAAACTGAGTTGAAAAATTAGAGTTCGCGTTGTGATTTTGTTGGTCATTTTGGCAAATCTAAAAAAAGTTGGTTAAAATCGTATATTATAAGGCATTTTCGGTCACTGAGGTTATTTTCTCTTCACTAAATTCCATTCCACCTGGTTTTTCAAGTGAGAAGAGCAGATGCATTAGAAGCAAAAATTATACCGGAAAAGGGAGAGAAGAATAAATGCCAAAATTTTTATAATTGTTAAGTTCCTAACTTCACTCGAATTTCAAAAAAAAATAGCAATAAGATATAGAACTTAGCAGAAAGCTCAGGAAACTCACGTATAATTTACAAGTAATATAAACTCACATTGAACAAATCTTCAAAAGATGCTAAAACATTTTGAGAGACATACAGGAGGCTGAATAAAGAACTATAGTATCGGTTACATGTTGTCTGTATTTGCGGTCGCGGTTCCAAACGGCCAACAAATCAAGCAAATTCTTGAGAAGAAACTATTCTCGTCCTTCTCCGGTGTTGGTACGGTATCCCTCTTAGCAACAAGATCAGCCATGAATTCAACGACAGCCTAATGAACAAACAAATTGAATAAGTTAGTATCTGATATGACCTAAACAGGGAAGATCCCAGCAAGTTAATCTTATCATCAAACTAGGATTACCTGAGCACCCAATTTGATCACTTCTCTTGGTGGAACTTCTAATGGAGTCTCGTCAGCCCGGAGAACTCTCAATTTTGATAATGATCCAAAAGAATCTGGTAAAACTCTGATTTGGTTGTCACCTATATCCAACTCTTCAAGCTTTTCGAGGTTTCTAATTGATCTTGGTAAGGCTCTTAAGTCTACAAAGTTCTTCCCCACATTCAATTTTCTGAGACTTACCACAAAGCAGAGGTTCTCAGGGATGAATTTGATCTCGTTGAAGCTTACATCAAGCTCCTTTAAATTGGAAAGGTTTCCCACTTTTGTTGGCAACCTATTGAGCCTGTTATAGTGTGCAGTCAAAATCTCCAAGCATTGGAGCTTCCCAATCGCCTCGGGAAGAGACTTTATCTGATTAAAATCTAATCTTAACTCTGATAGTGAGGAGCAACTCCCTATTGTGAATGGAAGTTCTTTAAGCTCGTTCGTTTCCACAATTAGTCTCTTCAAATAGCTCAAATTTCCAATCGACTCTGGTAAATGTGTGAACTCGTTTGAACTCAAATCCAGATTCATGAGGTTCGTCAAGTTCCCGAAAGAGGCAGGCAGCGACTTTAACCTGTTCGCATGGAGATCAAGCTTTATTAGATTGACAAGCTCCCCAAATGCATCAGGCAGGTTTATAAGTTGGTTCAAATGAAGATCAAGCTTCGTTAAGGCTTGAAGGCCACCAATGGAGGGTGGTAGAGTAATACCCAAAAATTTAGATAATGACCAAAATGCAAATTTTGAAAGTTTGATGGTCAAAGTAGAAATTTGGGAAAAATGTTTAGGGAATTAAGTGATAATTTCCTAAAAAGAATTTTATTCCATAAATAGATGGTTTACTCTTGAGAGTGGGGTTTTATAGAAATCATATTTATGGATTTGGAATTTTAGTAAAGAAAAATTAGAAAGGGTTAAAGTCTGATAAGGAATCGGTAATTCCGATCGAATTGGAATTATACAAAAATTTGAATTTGGAATTATACAAAAATTTGAAGGATGTTATAAAATATTTGGAAATATTATTTTAATATTTTGGATCAGAGAAATTTGGTTTGGAATTTTGCAATTTTTCAGATTTAACCGAAACAGTGAAATTTAGTGACCAAAACGCAATTTTTAAAAATTAAAGGGGAATTTCAGAATTAAAAGTCCAAACAATTCAGCTTTGACTTTGAAATATGATAAGGATGAGTTGTCATGGTTTTATGGTAATTAAGAAGATTCATTAAAGGTGATTTGGTCTTATCCCAATTAAATGAATATTTTATTCATTTAAGTGGAATTTAAGGTCAATTAAGATGAAATGTTCTCTACATTTCAACAAAATTTGCTTATCTTCTTCTCCAACCAGACGTGAGTTTCTTCAAAGGTAATAGCAAACTTTAATTTCATTTTCAAGCAATTTCCTTAGGATTTTGAGTATGCTAAAAATAAAAAATTGTTTTATGTGAAAAAAAGCTATCTTTTGGTACCAATATTGTATGCTATTGTTAGTGTTCAAGTTTATCTTGATTTGATGAAAGGGGATTTTAATTCTTGTGTTTTATGGGTTTTGAAGAGTTTAGGGATTTTAAAGGATTGGTTGTAAGAATTGATGAAGAACATAAGAATGAAGTTAAAGAAAACAGTTTGGATTTTGAATTTGGCAGTAGGTTCGAAAATTCACCAGAAATTATATAAAAATAATTTCGAGATTATTTTTATATATTATGTTCATATATTGATCTAGTTTCGTTTAAAATAAACGGGGATCAATTTCAAGGTGTATAGATATGAATTGTTAACCAAGGAAATGTCAGAAAAATCGGACAACAGATTCTGCAAAACTGATTCTGTTGGTCAACTTTGAAAATTCACCATAAATTGTACATAATGAATTAGAAGAAATTCTTTATATTGATAGATTTGTATTCGAGTCTAGTTTTCAACGGAAGAAACAGAATTAAATTACAGTGTGTATATCAATACAAAATATTGATTCTTTAAAGGTGGTGCAAGTTGTCAGATTATGGAAATTTTAGAAAGTTTGGTGATTGTAATACAAATTTTGAATTGTTGGGAGTGTTTAATTTTAATTATGCCTTTGTATGGGTACTTGGTTTATAATACCTTCAATACTGGAATTTTTGGTATTAAGAATCTAAGTGATAAAATGGTGAAGGATCATTTTGAGTAAATTGGAAAAGTGGGTTCCAATGTTAAAAGGAATTAATAAGTACTGAATTATTTGATGGAAATGAGTTTGAAGTATGCTATGGAATTATTTTGGGACATGTTTATGTTAGTACAATACTACCATATGTATTGTTATAAATTTTTGATTTATACAGATCATGGTTGATTTACAATTGAAGCAAGTCAAGTATAAAAAGGGTATATTGTGGACAATAGTGAAGCACAAATATTTTGAAAGATATAAAGTGTTAAGGTGAGTGAAATACATTAATGAAATTATACATGGATGTTTTATACATCATCAGGAAGACTTGCGATAAGTCAACCTTGTTTATATCGACATGATTTTATATCATTTTTATAAATTGACATTGATATGTCAGAGTATGAAATTAAAATACATTGATCACTGATTTTTGCATATGATGTTATCATGAACATATATGATTTTTACCATGAATGTTATTTCGGGTATTAACTGCCCCATCGTTAAATATTGATAATATACTTTGCCATGGACAGATCAAATAAAATAGATTGTATGCCCAAGTCAGTTATTGAGGGACAGGGTATAGTTGGCATGCCATAGAGTTCAGCAGCAGGCTGGATATTCGGGAATACACTAAAGGATACCTAGTGTATATGGTGGGCACGACCTTATGTGTCATATTCGGGAATTGTACTTAAGGATACCTAGTACAGATGGTGGACACGACCTTATGTGTCATATTCGGGATTACACTACGGTGCAAATATTTGACTCGTGTACCCATGGTCCTCAAGGTTGTATATTGGGCTATTGTCTATTGTTTATGGTTATTTTCTATGGTATATGTTTATGGAATAATGGCAAGTGTATTGATAAAAATAAGCTTACGAGCTTATGGAATTTAAATGGTAATTATTTTGGTAAAATAAACCTACAAGCTTATGGGATAAATGGTAAGAGATTTTATGTTATTTTGATCATGGTAAAATATTGGATATGTTATTAAAATGATTTTATGGAAATTTGATTTTTGACATTGAAAATCATGCATAAATTATATTGCACTGTTATTGTTTTAATTGTCTCACTAAGTATATACTTAGCGTGTGATGATTTTCACGCGTAGGTAAAAAGCAAAGAGTAAGAATAAAGAGTCCAGAACAACATCAAGCATCAAGAGGTATATTTCAATATCAGTAAGACATCCTACGATGGATTTTGATTTAGATAGTGACATGTAATTTGATAATGTTAAATTTGTTTTATTGAATTAATTTGGAAACAAATTAGTAACTTGATAGTGATGAAAGATTAAATTTTATGAGTTTTATATGTAAATTTTCGAAAGTTACTATAGCAGTTACTGTTGCATGAACAGTAACCACGAATTATGAAAAAAAAAAGCATTTGTGGTATCGATTCCCCACTGTTTATGGTATTGTTCACTGTTACTGTTAACGGATACTGTTTACTGTTACTGTTCACGGATACTGTTTACTGTTACTGTTCACGGGTACTGTTCACTATTCATAAAAAAAACTTTTGAATTAAATTGGTTATAATAAATCATATTTTTATGATATGATATTTTTATAATATCAGTTACCACGTTTAAGAAAATAAATTTTAAATCGCTTTTGAATTGAAAAATAGTTTTAGAAATTCGGGTGATATTTATAATTTGTATAGGTATAAATATACAAGTTATGACTTACCGGGAGTGCCATGATACGATTCTCGGATATGTCCAATTCAGTTACATCCTTCAGTTTCCCGATTGATACAGGAAGCCACTCAATCTGGTCCATCAACTTGCCCCTAAGATCAAGAACTACCCCTCCTGTTCTAGTAGTATTATCAATAAGCGCTGCTGTCTTCATTAGGTTCAGTTTTTCCTTGCTATTTTCACCTGCAGATACACCAAAAGCCTTCGTTTAGGACTGAATTTTCATGATCAGGATTCAAATAACGGTCCACTATTGGAATAGCAATCGTTATCCGAAACAGTTATTACACAATTGCAACTCTAGTGACCATAAAAGCATCCCTTGTATCTGCAATCGTAACAATCGCAACACAACTGGAAAATGTGGCTGCAACTGCAATTTAGATCTCTGTTGACTTATCAATTATATCTACCTATTCTAATGATCTTTCCTTTTCAATTCAACCAAAACAAAATATAACTTGATAATAAGAATTCTAGTTTCTTCTACTTATCCGGATTACAATCCATCATAGGAACAAAAACCGTCATCAAAGAATAAAAAAGGCTCAAAAATTCACAAGAAACTGAAATTGCTCAAAAATGATAAGAAATTGTATGCTTCACCTGAGAAGAAAGAGGCGTTTGCAGAAGAAGTTCTAACCAAACCTTTAGCATCATCTTTATCCAATTCACTATCTTCCTCTCGCTTCACCAAACTATCATCAGTAATAAGAGTTTCTCCATCGAATTTGCTCACACGTTCTCCAAAAGTAGTGACCTTTTCATCAAGGGCATCCCCAGAAACCAGGGACGAAGCCCTTTGAATCAACCCATCAAAGGTCTCAAACATCTTGTCAGCTTCAACCAAATGAAGGGCATCTTTCTTTTCCTGATGGATTTGAAACAACACCATGGTTTTCCCCACCTGTTGCAGGATGGAGAAGAGCTCAGCAGGGACATATTGGGATGGTTTTTCTTTTGAGATCTCTTCAAGCTTGACTTTTTCTTCGTTTTCGACGGTTTTGAGAACGGATTTAGCTGCTTCAACCTCACCAATTGAAGGCCTTGGTGGGAGTGATCTGTAAAGTCTCATGATTTCTTGTACTGTCTGAAGAAAAGAAGGTGATGGATCTTGCTTTGACATCACCGCCATGGCCGTGGCTTTGAGGAGGAGGCAAAAGGTCATGTTTATTTTCATTGTTTAAGGTATTCAAAGTTATTATAATTGTGTCGTGCAGATCACGTGTAGACATTAGACTTTTTAGATTGTTTATTTTTTAGAAGACAGAAGTTCTTCTAACGTCTGCGCGTCCTCTTCTTAGTACATACATACTTTATGTCTTCAAAACTCTTCTAACATCTTCAAAGAATATTAAATTTAAAAAATTTATATCATATAAATTATTTTATATATTATTAAATTTTATATTTATTTTAATTATTTTGATTTAAGTTGAAATATAATATTTTTTGGATTTGTTATTTTTAAATTATATTTAAACTTTTTATACGAAATATAAGTATTTAAACCACATTGTTTAATAAAAAATGAATTCATTGTTTGATAATTAAGATTTTAAAATATAAAAAATTATAAATTATATTTTTAAAATTTTAAAATATAATCACAATTAAATAAAAAATAATCATAAAATAATTTGATAAATTAAAAAATATTTTCTAAAAATATTTTTATAATTATAAAAATAAATTATGAATATATATATTTAAAAAATTAAAAGTATTACATAATTGCATAAAATTATTGAAAATATTCAAATAAATATTTTAAAATTTTGAAAAGAGAGATGTATGATTCATTGATTAATAATAGTTTAATGATAATTAATGTTGTTGTGTCATATGATAATAAAATTCAAAATTTAATATTATTATATAACTTTAGATAATTTAATGTTTAAAAATTATATAATTTAATGATCATTTATAAATTTTATTCTATAAAACTTATAAAACTAATAATACATATGATTATGTGAGACTTATAATAGAATTAATAAGGTGGTGTTTGTTTTTCAAAAAAATTTATTATTGTAGTTGTATGGATTATTTAAATTTTAGTATTGTAAAACTAAAATTATTTAAATCTCAGTATTGCAAAACTTTTTTAAGATTAAAAAATTAGTTTATTTATATTTTAGTTTATTTATATTTTAGTTTATTTTAGCAGTCTGTATATGTTAAAAAATAAATAGTCTTCTTCTTGTAGACTGTAGACTTTTGGTCCACATCTTCTGCTGCAGATGCCTGCAGATGTGATTCACAGATTGCAGACCTTTTATATCTATAAAAACAAACACCACCTGATAGATTGTTTTAGAAAGGTTTTCGTTTATTTATATTACTCACGGACAAACAGAGCTGCCTGCCCTTCCATCTCTCCCCTTTCTATGAAATTATTTCTCCATCATCTCCTTTCTATAAATATATTTACTAATAAATATATTTAAAAAATGTTTTTTTAATCTAAAAATGAAATTTTTAAATTTTATATTTGAAAAATTGTTTTTAGACCCAAATTATAATTTTAATATTCTCTAAGACATAATATAAAAATTAATTCTAATATTTATCGAAATAATTATTTTATTTAAAAAAATATTTTGACTTTTGACATTTTATATTAGAACAAAAAGGTTTCATAAAAAAATTTAGTTAATAAATAAATAACACTTTAAAATAAAGATTTTTACACTAAAATAAAATATTAGAATGCCAAAATGCTCTAGAATCGGCGTGCACTATGGGTCTATTTCCTTCCTTGTAGACATATACTTTGAGCGTGTTTACAAACTAACGGAGATAAAAAAAAGCAGTGAAATATAACTTAATCAGCTCTTTATCAGCTCTTGAAGACCATCTTGGTGTCTACAAACTAACGGAGATAAAAAAAAACAGTGAAATATAACTTAAGTGTCCCTTTGTAATAATGGAAATCTTAATGAATGAGCATACCATGGATTCATATGAAACAAATTGTTCATATCAGCTATTGTAGTTAGTGCCGGTGGCATCTCAGGCTTTTTTTTGTCATGGGAGCTTTGGGGAGAGAAAAATCACAAAACAATTACTGAAAAGATGTACAATTATCTGGCAAAACATTTTCACATATTGAAAATGCACAAATTGGTTGTGAAGATATACATTTGGTGTTTCCTTCGAGTGCTGTGAGTACTTTAAACTTTTTCTGTATTGTCTTCGAATATTGTATTCATGTATCTATCTAGATACTAGGAAATAAAAAGATAAATTCTCTGAAATTGATTCGAGATTTGATTAAATTATGTGATAAATATGTGTTTTTACATTCTACCTTATTTGACATGTGTTTAAAACTTTAAATTGTTTTTACTGATTATCTCAATAAACTTTAAGCTCGTTAAGTTGTTTTCAATGTCATTACATGACTTTTGTTTATCTTGTTAATCCGAGCATTGGTGTGTATTTTAAGTTATTCGAGTTATGCTTCTTCATGCTTAATATGTAGTGAGGTTAATAGTTTGTGTTGCTTTGATTGAGTTTAGCATGATGATGATTTCTGTGCGATGAACATAATTCATGTTTTGATTCAACTTCCTCCTTTTGCTTCAACTTTCACTTTCTTCAAACTTTTCTTGTCATTGTAAAATGTTTTTTCCTTCAGAAAATGAAATCTTCATCATCTAGTGCTACTCATATGTTTTGTGTTGATGTTGAAACTCCTTGTGATACTCCAAATAATTCAAATGATGTTGTCAAAACTGATCAATCAGCTGCAGCTTCTTCAAGCATCCCATCTAATCTTCAGCAGCCTTTAAAAAAACCAGAGGCAGGTTAGGTACCACAAGTTCTATAGTTTGGGAACATTTTACAAAATTACCTTGTGTAGTTGGAGATATTCCACAATGTAGCTGTAATTATTGTGGAAAAACCCTTAAATGTCCAACTAAAAGTGGAACTAGTGTCATGCATAATCATATGAAACGTTGTCCTAAGTACCCATTTAACAAGGTAGATGCAAAACAGCAAAATTTGTGTTTTAAATCAGAGGAGGATGGGCAGCAAAGTTTGGGTTTAGTTATTTGGAAATTTGACCAAACACAATGTAGAAAATATTGTGCTAGGATGATTATCATGGATGAATTGCCTTTTAGAGTTGTTGAGCATGAGGGATTTCGAGATTTTTGCAATATGATGCAACCTAGATTCCAAGTTCTGTCTAGGTTCACTATAACAAAGGATTGCATAGAAGTTTACTTGGAAGAAAAAGATAAACTTTTTAAGTATTTTAAGAGTTTCAATCAAAGGGTTTCTCTCACTACTGACATATGGACTTCTAGGAAAAACCTTAGTTACTTGTGTCTCACTGTTCATTTTGTTGATGATGAATGGAAATTACATAAACGAATCTTAAATTTTACACTCATTCCAAGTCATTCAGGTGATGTGATAGGGAAATACATTGAAAAACACTTGCTTGAGTGGGGAATAGATAAGGTGCTCACAATCACAGTAGATAATGCTAGCTCCAATGATGTTGCGATCAAGTATATAAAAAAAGGCTAAACAATTGGAAACATAACATTTTAGGGAATGATTACATTCACATGAGGTGTTGTGCACACATATTAAATCTAATTGTTAGAGAGGGTTTGAAAGATTTGGATGACTCAATTTTTAGAATTCGTTCGGCTGTTAGATATGTTAGGTCATAACCAGCTAGGATGCAAAGGTTTAAGTAGTGTGTTGAGCAAGAAAAAATTGAGAGAAAGGGTTTAGTTTGCTTGGATGTTGAAACTAGATGGAATTCGACATTTTTAATGCTAGATGCAGTTGTGAAATTCGAAACAGCTTTTGACAGGTTGGGAGAGCAGGATTTTAAGTATAGAGATGAGCTTTCAAGTTAAAAAATGAAAGGTCTACATACTGACTTAGATTGGGAGCATGCTCGTGCTTTATTGCCATTTTTAAGAGCCTTTTATGATGCTACATTGAAGTTGTATGGTTCTTCATATGTTACTAGCAATTATTATTTTCATGTTGTGTTTGGCATTGGAATGAGAATTAATGATAAGTTAAATGATCCAAACTCAAGCATAAAACTTATGGCTTCAAAAATGAGGGAAAAATATCACAAGTATTGGGGGAATGTGAAAAATCTTAATCCACTCTTATTTATTTCTATGATTTTAGATCCTAGACACAAGATGGATTATGTAATCTTTGTGATTGATGAAGTTTACGATGCTGAGAAAGCTGAGCAATTAAGTGAAATTGTAAAACAAACTTTAAGTGAGTTGTTTGATCATTATAGTTTGTTAAGTGGTAAATCCCAAGAGGAACCAAGTGTTGCTTCTCAATCTAATATCTCTAGGGTTGAAAATGATGAGCTGCTTGATTTGTTTGCTTATTCCAAGACCAAGTACAAAAGGAAGAGGGTTGAAAGTGTGTTTAGTGAAGGAAAATCTGAACTTGAAAAATATTTGGAGGACAAAGTAGAACATGATGTTAAGAAATTTGATTTGCTTGATTGGTGGGAGAACAAAAGTCAGACCTATCCCATAATTTCTATAATGGCTCGAGATATTTTGGCAATTCCTGTAACTACAGTGGCTTCAGAATCTGCTTTCAGCACTGGAAGTCGTGTTCTTGACTCATTCCGGAGTTCTTTAACTCCACAAATTGTTGAGTGTCTCATTTGTGTGCAAAATTGGCTGAGAGCATCACCTATAGCAATCCAAAAAGAGGAACAAATTGAAGAAATGGAGAACATTGAGAGTGGTAAGTAATAATTATGTAAACACTTATAAATATTTTTTTAACTCATTTCTGTAAATATTCTTACTTCTAAATATTTTTTGACTTTTAATAGGTTTTGAAGATTTAAGGCTAAATGAAACAATGATGACCATTGATGATTGATCGAAGATGGACACTTACAAAGGTAATTTCTATGATTTAATGTTATAAAGCTTATGACATGATAATATTTGAAACCAAACCGATTTAAATTTCTATGATTTAATGTTACTGCAGCTTATGACATGATAATATTTAGATACTGTTTCTGTTTGTGATATTGAAATATTGTTTTGATAATATATTAAACATTAGTTTTAAATTTAAATATATCTCAATTCAAATGTAATTTGTTAATTAGGAGGA